CGTGGCTCAGCCCACCCCCCTGGGCTAGCAGTGCCCCCTCAGGGCTGCGCCCACCCAGCGTCCGGCCTCACCCCGTTACCTGCCGCCGCTGGGGCAGGACCCCACGGGAAGCCCCTCTGCCACCTTCCCGCCTACCCTGTGCCAAACCGCCAGCCCAGGCACTGCACTCATGCCGCACCTCTGTACGGAGGTCTCGCAGTGTTTGGAGGACGAGGCGGCAATAAAGCTGGGTGGAAAGAAGGTCTGGCTGGATGTGGGGGGAGGGATGCAGGACAGGGACCCTGGTATGGCCCCGGCACCCTGCCCCCATGGACGTTTTATTTTGGGATGAAAGGCGCAGAGGCCCAAGTCTGCAACGAAGAAACAGCTCCCCATGGGGCGCGTCACCCTGTGCGGTGAAACCACGGCGCAGCCATCCTGTAACCCCCTGCCCCTTGCAGCAGCCCAGGGTCCAAAACTGGCAGCCGCCCTGGCAGAACCACTTTAATCACACACCAGAGCCCCGTGCAGAGGTGGCCCCAGCCCCGTGGGGCACTGGGACATCCCCTGCTCGCGGCCACAGGCAATGCCTCTCCCGGGGGACAGATGTCAGTCCAGCGTCATCCTGCCCAGGCGTCCTGCTCGGAAATCCCGCAGGAACTCGTAGGCAGCGGCTGGGTAGTTGAGCATTGTCACGTTGACGTTCCCTGGAGATGGGGGTGGTGGGTGTGGAAGGAGGTGTCAGCGCAGCCTGGAGCCACCCTGGGACCCTCAAAAGCCTGGTACCTGCACCCCACTCAGCAGATTCCACCCCGCCAAGCACTCACCTGTGCCTGTCAGCACCTTCACCTTCTGTGTCCTGCCCAGGGTGAGGGCCACCTGCTTCAGCACAGGCTCGATGTCATCACAGGCTGCAGCCAGCCCGTAGCGCTGTGTGTACCTGCCGAAGGAAGCGGCTCACAATGCACTCGCATCGCTTCCCCCCCACCCCCCAACCCCAATTCCCTGGGGGAGCCTTCTCCACCCCCCTCCCTGGTTCCCCTGCCAGCTAACCCAAACTGCTGCCATTTGTTCAGGGTGTACAGGAGGTAGTCGGCCATGATATCCTCTCCTACTAAGTGGTCACGAATGGCTCCTGGGAAAAAAAGGTCAAGCCCCAGCTCTCCCCAGCCCTGCTCGGAGCCCCGGCCACTCCTCCTGCTGTCCATGTGCCACCCATGGGCACCCAGACAGTGCGCAGCAGCCTAGGGGAGGGGGCTGTGAACAGCAGACTCCCACCCCAGCCTTAGGTACCACCCCCAGCAGAGGCTTGAAGCCACATTTGGGGAGTACCCACAGCCACAGCCTCCACCTCACCGCACAGCGCCAGCTTCATGCCCGTCTCCACGTCCCCCAGCCTCGGGGGCAGCACGCCAGGCGTGTCCACCAGGTACATCAGGGGCTTCTCGCTAACCTGGGACGGGTGAGGCATGGCTTAGTAATTAGCACCACGGACTATGACACGGCTAACGAGCAAGGCATTGAACTCTTTGGTTAAGGCCTTGCTGGAAAGGGGACCTGAGCAACCCTTTGAGATCAGCTCTGCATGCCTCGAGGTTTTCCAAGACTCCTGTGAGAGGATGTGGGGAGGCAGAAGCAAGCACCCACCCAGCCAGCTGCGTCATGGGGACAGTACCTGGATTCTGGTCAGCACTGCCTTGGTGATGCCCGGCTCACCACCGACCGCAGTGGCTTTCCCTTTGGGAAAAGGAGGGACACAGTCAGGGAAGCAAGCGACACTCTGCCCTACCACCCAGTCCACGGCTGCGCCAGCAGCTCCTCCCCGAGCCCAGGAGCCACGGAGAAATACCCTTCTTGAGATGCAGCCTCCGCAGGGAGTTGATGAGTGAGGACTTGCCCACATTGGGCACGCCGATCACTAGGATGTTGTACTCGGTGTTCTGGAAGCAAGGAGGAGCCAGGCAGGGAGCAGCCAGTTATGGGCCACCCACCCCAGGAACAGGCAGCCACAACAGTGAAACAACCCGGCGTTTGCCAGCGCTTGTGGTATGTGTGCAAGCAGACTCATCTCTCCAGCTGAAGGAGGAGGTGACCTGCAGACGGCCACCCTGACTCCCTGCGCACACACCAGCAGCCCTGCTGCCACGTCTCACCTCGGCCCTGTGGTACCGTGGGCTGTTGCTCACCAGCTTGGCAACCAGGGGAATGATCTGCAGAGAAACACAGAGAAGGGCTGTAACTATGGCTCTGCGCCTGGGCTGGCAGCAGCCACTCACTTGGAGGATGCTGTGCCAGGAGGATGCACAAAATGGAGGCCAAGCAGAGGATGGGGTGCCTCGGGTAAGCTGGGGATGAAGATCAGTGTGGACCAGCCAGCAGGACCTCCTCACACAGAGCACTGTGGCTCTCCATGGGGCTTGGAGAGTGGTGCACAGCCCCCAGCTGCCAGCAGTGAGGACCAGGCCTGGACAAAAGGCTACTGGCCCATTACCTTCTTGACGTTTCTATCATGCTGGCAGTCAGCAAAGACAACATGTGAGCATCCCTGCTGCTTCAGCTGCTCCAAGATGGCCTGAAGGGGACAGGCACATTGATGGTACCTGCCTACGGTGACTTGCGGACCCCCAGCCAGCCCACCCTGCCCCAGCGCTCACCGGCTGCCGGTGGGGATCCGCGAGGTCCATCTTGTTCAGCACCAGGACATGTGGGCGGATGCCCAGTGCCTCCTGCAGCATGGGATTACGGCCGGACAGGGGGATGTGAGTGCCACTAAGGAGAGTGACTGTGCACTGGTGTGGGAATGGGTACCGGAGGGACCGGCTGGGAAGAAGGGTGGGGAAAAAAGTTGATGGGGCTGGTGCAGGGCTGGAGAGGGGCACGGGAGCGGGAGAAGGAGCACGGGAGGAACGGGAGAAAGGGCACGGGAGCGGGAGAAGGGGCACGGGAGCGGGAGAAGGGGCAC